GCCATATGATCGATCTGAAAATTATAGCTTCGGTGTTTTTTAACATGTACAGGGTATTCCCTAAACAGCAATTAAGGGAATGACCCTAAAAGTTCCCTGTTGAATTTTCTGTTTTAAGATGCCAGCTGTTTGTCAGATTGTCAAATAGCCAGGATATGTTACCAAAGATTATGTTTAAAATTACGGAAAATGCCGAGAATATGCCAAAAACTAAACTATTAGAACTCCTAACAGGCAGCGTCCTATCAGATACCCTTTATTTGCATATTTTATACGATTGCAATTTCTCCATGTTTACAATTGACCAGAGTTACCGTCTTACTTTTAGTCGAGAACAGCGACAGCCCCGAGGCTGTTGAATTGCTTAAACTTCTGAAAGTTGACTTTGTGTGGAACAGCTGATTAACAGCTGACCAAAATTCAACGATTCAGCGATTCAACAGTTTAGGAATTATCTTATATTATTTGGAATATCAGTTTTTGTATTTTTATACTGTCGGAAAGTATGTAAGAGGCAGAAGGAAGCGTTTACGACACTATAAAGTATATATATTCTTGATGAGGATCACCAGCCGAGTCGATCTAGCCATGTCCGTCTGTCCGTCTGTCTGTCCGTCCGGATGAACGCTGAGATCTCGGAAACTATAAGAGCTAGGCTATTGAGATTTGGTGTGCAGATTCCTGAGCTTCTTACGCAGCGCAAGTTTTTTTTTCAGGAATGTGCCACGCCCACTCTAACGCCCACAAAGCCCCCAAAACTGTGGCTCTTACAGTTTTGATGCTAGAATAAAAATTTTAACTGAAATGTATTCTCATCAAAACCATCTATTGACCCAGAAAAAAGTTTGCAACGCCCACAAACCGTTCAAACCTGTGACGCCCACAATTTTCATGCTAGATTAAATTTTTTAACTAAAATGTATTGGTCAAGTCAATACCTATCGATTGATCCAAAAAAAAATTTGGCACGCCCACTCTAACGCCCATAAAGCTTAAATCTGTCTACCGCCGGTAGTTGGCGCATTTTAATCTCGCCTTGCTTCTTGCTTATCTCCATTTCCCTTCGGTCCCTTTAGCTGAGTAACGGGTATCTGATAGTCGGGGTACTCGACTATAGCGTTCTTCCTTCCTTGTTAAGAATACTTTATGGGGACAGAAACGTCTTCTTCACTACGTTGCAAACTTCTGACTGAAATCAGAATACCCTTTGCAAGGGTATAAAAAATCATATCTTTGGTAATAATACCCTCTTCAAGGGAATAAAAAGAAACGAAGTCAATTAGATTACTAAATCCGGAATTAAAGATGTTTAAACAGAGGATTTACTTTGTAATTTGACATTGAGTGGAACACTTCTTATTGTTGCTAGCAAATTTCAGAGATATTCGAAGTTTTGTACTTACCAATGAATAAATATAAATAGAAGGAATATATTTAGATATCAGCATGTGAATTTACAATTTATTTAAATTTTATTTCTATATATAGTATATTGATTTCTTTTAAATGAATCGTATAAATTTACAATACATATACATATGAGGAAAATGGCCAACAAAAAAGCTTTTTCACAATTCACCCTCAATGTAGTTATTTAATACAATCCTTTTGACTTTCCAGCAAAATGCATTTTTGTTTTAAAAGTAACAATGTTCCATGATTACAGATTTGGCATAGCTGTAAGGGAGTTTAATTAGTTGTGTTAATGTGCCTTTATAAGATTGGTATGATTTTATGTATATTTTCCATTTGATTTAACATTTTTTTTCGAGTACCAGTTATGATTTGTGAATTATCTCACATCTTAAATCCGACCTACAATAATAATTTTATGTACAAACACTTTAATAATTACGGTATTTAAGAACTTTAAACATCCAGAATTTTTTGTAGGGGTGTGTAGAGTATGGTGACGAACGATTCTTTTTTTTAATTGCCACTTTTTCAAAAATAAATATTTTTTTAAAGTTTAAAAGCAGAAAGTTGCTGTCATCTATTGAGAAAATTCCTGTTGAAGTTCGATGGTAAAATTCAAGATTTGATGAATCCTTTTTTTTTAACTTTTAAAGATGTAGGTGTAAGATATCGAACTCATAAATAGACAAAAGTACTCTAGCATATGTGAAAACTATTTTTATTTATTTCAAAAAAAGTTGAAATGAATTACAAATTTAGATGTACTCTTAAAAAATGTCTATTTTAGTTCTGGGTTTCAATTAAACAAACTCAGTTGTTTGATTTTTAATCACAAAAATTAACAAAAAGTATTTTTTTCTAATTATTGGCTTTAGAAAAGATAAAATTAGCGGTATAATGTCAACACATACGGGAAGAATTAAATCTATTTACTTTACAAAATGTGTGTCCTGATACCCTACCAGGTACAAGCCTCTTCTTAACCCATTTAGCAAATTTAAAATCTACTTTTTAAACTTATTTCCACGATTTAAAAGCAAAAATGTTTGATGCAAAAAGGTTTTATAAACAAAATAAATAGTAACTGCCAAATTTTTTTTTAAAATTTATTTTCTAAATTTTTTTTCTGATTTTTTAAAAATGTGTAAATGTTTGCATTTGGTTCAAATTTTTCTCTTTTTCATACTACATTTTTCTGAGATCATCATATCAAACAAGGAAGAACGCTAAAGTCGAGTACCTCGACTATCAGATACCCGTTACTCAGCTAAAAAGAGATATGCAAGTAGCAAAGCGAGATTAAAATGCACCACCTATGGGCGGTATACAGATTTAAGCGTTATGGGCGTTAGAGTGGGCGTGGCAAATTTTTTTTTGGACCAATCGATAGGTATTGACGAGACCAATACATTTCAGTTAAAATTTATCTAGCATAAAAATTGTGGGTTTTGGCGGTTTGTGGGCGTTAGAGTGGGCGTGGCATATTCGCGTAACAAACTTGCGCTGCGTATAAAGCTACGGAATATAAATCTGAAATCCCGATTCTCTATCTTTGATAGTTTCCGAGATATCCACGTTCATATTTACGATTTTTTGAAGTTTGTGGGCGGTTTATGGGCGTTAGGGTGGGGTGGGTCAATCGATAGGTATTGATAAGAACATTACATTTCAGTTAAAATTTTTACTCTAGCATCAAAACTGTAGGAGCCACAGTTTTGGGCGGTTTGTGGGCGTTAGAGTGGGCGTGGCACTCTACTGAAACAAACTTGCGCTGCGTAAGAAGCTCAGGAATCTGCACGCCAATTCGCAATAGCCTAGCTCCCATAGTTTCCGAGATCTCAGCGTTCATCCGGACAGACAGACGGACAGATGGACATGGCTAGATCGACTCGGCTAGTGATCTTGATCAAGAATATATATACTTTATGGGGTCGGAAACGCTTCCTTCTGCCTCTTACATACTTTCCGACGAATCTAGTATACCCTTTTACTCTACGAGTAACGGGTATAAAAATCATAAAAAATAGAAGTATACAAATTTTGTATGTTTGTATGTATTTAACTTTTGTTTCGTCAAAATAAAAAAATGCCGACCAGTGTATTTGTTTCACTTGGTTTTCCAAATTTCTTTACTCTGGCAATGCTGAAACACTTATAAATTGGTTTTTTAATTTTTGCTCATCCTCTATGGTTAAAAACATCTCACGAACTTAATAATATTAGTGTAATTACATAGTCAGAACGATACGAGAAATCGACTACAATTGTATGTAATATTTACGTAACGTCACATGTGAGATTTGGCCAGTTCGTCATCTTTCCCTACTCTGCACCTTACCCTTTCTAATGCCAGGAAGTTATTTTATCAAAATTCCAACAATCGAATATTATATCCACAAAGCTACTTATTTACAATTTTTAATACACTAATTTTATATCTATTGGGTTGCCTTCTTTTATCTAACTTCTACACCGTCCCCTCCGATGACTCTCAATTTTAAGTAAACGAAAACTACACTCTTAAGTACTAATTAGGAAGGCACTTGACAGTTTGAAGAAAACCTCCGACCAAGCATAGCTAAATAACAAATTTTATAGATTTATGTGAAAATGATATAAAATCAAAGATCATAGAAAATCTTAATTTAACAACACGCTTTGTTATGAATTTTGTTAAGTGCCCCAAAATTTGGATCGTGTGCACAATGCATTTGCTTTTTGCCAAGCCGTGCTCGGGATGAGGCCAGTAGTGCCTTGTATAAATTGGACTGAGCAATTGTGACTACGTGCCCTCAAATCGCTTTTGCTTAATCAGTGCAAACCTTTTCCGGTTAATTGATTCTTTCTATCGCGAGTATAAGTAATACTTTTCGAAAACAACCTGAACATTTTGTCAAAATATATTCCGTTTTTAGAGCCATCGACATTGTCTTAAAAGTTTTTTAGAGAATGTGGAAATTGAATTAACTTATTAGCTTTCTTCATTTTCCGGTGTTTTTCCATGTTTAAAACTGCATCTGTACCAATCTAGGGGCAGTAATTAGATAACAGCCATCTTCACTTTGGATCTAGGATTAGCTTATAGCTGAAAACGCCAGCAGAAATTTTCTTCGAATTGTCCCTTACGCCTCATTTGAAATTTTCCAATAATCTTGAGGAGTTTGGCATTGCCGAAGTCAATGGCTAAGATGCGGCAAAGTTTTCAATTGCGCTTGAACGATCTGCCACAATTGAGGGAGCCACGCGTATTTCCACACCCAAAGCTGTGGTGTACACATGGGGATCGCAGTCCAATGTACTTTGTCATCCGTAGTAGAACTGTGAGCCAACGGCCACGCCGGTTGAGAGAGTGCGTGGGGCGGTGCCGTCATATGAAAGATGCGGCTGCAAAATACTTGGCTTTGCCCGTCGCAATGTCGATGTGCCCTGACCAGGTATGGACACATTATTTTGTGAACTGACATTCACTAGCGGCGGTTGCGGTTGGTGCGCTGGCGAGCTTCTAGTCAACAAGGACGCCGGTGTTGGGGTGCTCTTCTGCCGTTGATGCACACTTATGCTGTCGGGGTTAATGATATACCCACCACTGATTGAAGGCGCACTCGTATACGGGTCCAGCGAGGTAATGGTACCATTGGACCTTTCAAGAGAAAACGACATTGAAATAACAATCGAAGTACACCGGTGAGATTACTTACTTATTGGACTGTTACTGGGGGCGCTAGTTCCAATCACAATAGCTGAGGTCAGAATGCCCGCTACTGGACCCTGACCGCCTGCACTGCCAACACTCGTGGTGACAAAAGGTCCCTGCGCTACACCGATGAGGTCAGGTGACTGACGACCCGCCATTAAAACTGAATTTGGCATAAGCTCGGCGCCAGGTCCTGGGCAACTCACCGGAGGTAACTGGTTGGGGGACAAACCAGCGTAAAGGCTACTAGCTGGAGCGTACGTCAGGTAGTTCTAAGTGGGGGTAGGTAAGTGGGTGGACGGTGAAGGCTCTTATTCAATAGTACCTACCTCATTTTTAAACACACTGGGTAAGGGCAGTGGAGTTTTAATGTCAATGTCGGCGTCTATTTCTGAGATTGTATCGTTTAAACCGCTCTGGATAATTGTCTCCTCAATTGCTCTATCCCTTCCTTTGGCCAAGGAGCTTAAGTGCGCATCAGTAGTAAGATCGCGCTTTGAAGCACTAGCTTAGTTGCGAAAATGATTATAGAGAAAAGCACTCCCAGTGAGCCCAAGACAATAAGATACAAATATAAACGTTCCTGGTCCTCTGTTAGAATAAAACATCGAATAAAAGTGGATCGATATTGGGCGTGGAAATATATAAGAAACAATATATGAAAATAAGAGGCATTGTTCCCTAGGGACAAGTACTCTTTTGCCTTGTTTGTGATTATAGTTCCCGCGGAAACAATGACCAAAAAACAAGACGAAACGCTATAGTCAAGTGCCACGACCACCAGATACCCGTTGGTAAGTTTAAAATTTCAATAAAAATAAAATAATAATTTGTAATATATCCATCCAAAATACGGATCCAAAAATTTTTGAAGTCGGGCCACTCATTAAAACGTATAAGCATCTAAAGTTATACCCGCTAGGGGTGCCAGTTGTGGAAACCGAAATCTTTCGCTTTGAAGAGTTTAAAAGTTTCAAGTATATTAGACTAATTTAATTTAAAGCTGTCTAGCTGATAAACGGGTATTTGACAGTCGAGGCACTCGAGTATAACGTTCTCTTTTGTTTTATCGTTAAATAGGTCTACAGTCTGTCTACGAACTTTTTGTTGTTTAAATGGCATACCTTCCAGACTCTGGTCAGCACTGTGTGTCATCACAGGATTCACGCCACTTTTATCGCCATCTATAACCTGGGATCTGTTCATTATGGTCTGGTTGCTCGACACGTTAGCACTGGACCCCGACCCGGCTGAGCTGGTGCCATTACCGCGTCTTGCCGTTGTTGTATTGCTGTATAGCTTAGGAATAGCTTCTGACTCCTTGTAGATCAGCTCATCGTCGTATAGATCATTCATATCGCCGTCTAAGTCCTCAGCTTCGTCAGGCTCTACTTCCGACTCCTTGCTATCTTTAAGAACTTGTTTTGGCACTGTACAGGAGCAACAAAGAGAGGAACCGCAATTGAAATTACGGAAATAAATTGAATATTAATCGGCATCTGACTGCCCAAGTTTAATTTAGTATGTAGAGATGAAGCTTGACCTTTGTTTCTCACTTACCGCATGTATAAACAACCTTTAAGTACATTCGAGAGTTGGGTTGGCAAGGGCTTCCAAATGTGTTCGCGTCTGCCGCCAGGTTGCATCGCCGTCTTCCATGGCAAATTTTCATCACGGTCTCCGTGGCATATGAGGCGAGACACGCTGTATAAGCAAGATGTGAATTTCAGGGTTTATCAAACACAAAACTATAACCATTCTTGTGTAGCGTGTAAATAAGGAATGTCTTTCTGGGCATTTAATAAAACAAAAGAGAAGCTAGCTTCGGCAATCCAATGATGATATACCGTTGCAGCTTAAATGCTATCATGCAGTTAAAATCATACAATGTGCGTTTAGAAACAGTATATTCGGAATCTTAGTATAAAACAAGGAAGAACGCTATAGTCGAGTACCACGACTACCAGATACCCGTTACTCAGATTAAGGGACCAAAGGGAAATGGAGATATGCAAGCAGCAAAGCGACATTGAAATGCGCCACCTACCCGCGATCTCAATATATGGTTGTGTGGGCGGTAAAGTGAGCGTGGCAACCTTTTTTTTGGGTCAATCGATAGGTATTGATGACAACTATACATTTAAAATTTGTATTCTAGCATCAAAGCTGTAGGAGCCACAGTTTTGTGCGGTTTGTGGGTGTTAGAGTGTGCTTGGGACCCTTGTGCTGCGCAAGAAGCTCAGGAATCTGCATGCCAAATAGCAACAGCCTAATTTTTATGGTTTCCGAGATCTCAGCGTTCATCCGGAGGGACAGACAGACGGACATGGCTAGATCGACTGGGCTATGGAATCGGAAACGCTTACTACTACCTGTTACACACTTTCCGACGAATCTAGTATACTCTTTATTCTACGAGTAAGGGGTATAAATATATATTCCTGTGACAGCTATATGACACAATTGTCTGACGTTTCAAAAAAATGTTACGCTATACCCCAGAGTAAAAGATAATGTTTATTTTTTTTTCCTATAGCTAACTATGGGAAGTTATCTTTTGGATATAAACGCAATACATAACAATATAATTAAAATGCTTATTTTAAGGTGGCATTGTTGATCATTTTAACAAACATATACATTTATGGCTTTAAGAAGGTGTATAATCTATGGAGGTTTCAAATGATATGCTCGGATAAGCTAAGTTATAATTAGTACTGTAACGACCTGGATTTATTAGTTTGCTCTCTACGAGATTCTTTCGGTTAGATCAGTAGATTGTGCGTTCGTGCCACCGAATTAATATCACGTGACTTCTCCGTACATCAGTGATATAGCACAGAATTTAAAGGTTTACAGTGGATTTATTTTGGGTGACTTATTAAAGCGGATGGGTGGCTCGGTTGGCATCGGTGTCGCTACGCGATGACTGCATTGGGTACTGATGTGGCTCTTTGGACTCGTTGACCGCTGACTCCGTACACCTTCCTAAATGCTCCTGTTGTCCCCGCCTGTGCTCGCTCCCGACGCGTTGACTCGAAGTCGCTTCTCTCGCCTTGGACTCGCAGAGAGATCGGCGCGCGGGCCGAAATTAGGGTGAACAGGTGCTTCTCTTTCCAGGGCAAACGCCTTCAAAACAACGACCGCCGTCAAGGATTACGCCAGAAAGCTGCCTGGCAGTTTACTCCGCTTTACGCCTAGGGCAGACGAACGTTCCACCCTTGCCTCATCCTATTGCTTGTCGTCCGCGGCGTTTCTGTGTTACTCGATGAGTTCTCCGCAGCTGTCTTGATGTGGCTGCTGATGATGCTTACTGCCGCCATTATCCACTGCTCTGCACCTGGTCGTGCTTTCTGTGGCTGGATGTGTCGTGATCTCAGGCTCTTGAGATTCGAGGTTCAGGGACCTGGCTTGCTAAGCCGCCGGGCCTCTCTAGGACAACGCCTCTTGAGAGCTTCAACCGATCGACTGCTGGTAGTGTGTTCTCTGGCCCTCGGGGTTTCGGTCAGTTGCGAACTCCCAGAAACTTCGCCGTAACCGCTGGGCTCTCCAGAACAACGCCTCTTGAAACCACAAACCGATCGA